TCTCCTCGGTGGCAGCCACCCCTCTGTGACCTCTGGCCTGCCGTTGGGTGGGGGTCCCTGCTCCCTGCAGCCCCGTGACCTCGGAGAGCTGCAGCAGCCTCCCCGGTGCTGGTGGCACACGGCGCCTGCCCACCCCACCGTGGGCATCCCCCATCTCTCCATGCACTCTGATGTCCCCTCTCCCCCTTGATCCCCACCCCAGCGTGAGCAGCCACGACCGTGGGCAGACCTACAGCGCCGAGTGGTCTGATGATGAAGGCAGCAACTCCTTCAACACCAGCGAGGCCAACGGTGGCACCAACCCCTTCGACGAGGAGTCAGTGGGGAAGGGCGTGAGGGTGCGGGCTCTGTACGACTACGACGGGCAGGAGCAGGATGAGCTCAGCTTCAAAGCAGGTACGTTCCACCACCCGTGCTGGGCTGGCCAGGGCTCGCCTGCCAGAGCTGTAGGTGCCCCACTTTTTGGTGTGAAACTGCACAAATAATTTCTGAGTCATCCCAATCCTTCGAAAGTTGAATTGGAAGAAAGGGGAAGGCACAAGGTGAGCCCAAACCTGGGTGGGACTGGAGGGGTGGTGGGACAGGGCACATGGAGCCTTGTGGGTCACCCCTTGCCTTTCTACCCTACAAACCAGCACACTGGGGATCAGCCCTAGAGACCCCCGGCAGCTCCATCCAGGGGAGAAATCAGCAGGGTAGAAGAAGCTCCAACACCTGCAACGAGCTCTCTCCTTTCCACCTTCCTCTCCAGGTGATGAACTAACCAAACTCGGTGAAGAAGACGAGCAAGGATGGTGCAAAGGGCGCTTGGACAACGGGCAGCTAGGTCTCTACCCCGCCAACTACGTGGAGGCAATCTAAATCTTGTGGTGTGCTCCTCATCGCCGTCAGCAGATCAATCCACCCTCCGTTGTCTCCATCTCTCCACCAGCCAACCAGCCATTTTGCCGTCTGGTCCTTCACTCCTCACGGTTAGAGATTCAGACATATTTTCCAACCAAGCTTTTATTTTTTTAAGAGTTGTCTCTGAAGAGTATTTTGCATAGTCGCTTTCTTCTTCTTCTTCTTCTTCCTGGGTAACGTGAAGCGAGAGATGACGTTGTCCGTCCGTCCGTCTTAGTTGATTTTTTCTTTCCGAGCGAAAAGCTGATACCTCAAGATCTTAAAGCCCAACCAGTGAGAGATCCTGATTGGTTGGTTTTTAAAGATACTGAAATCATGAGCCGCCTTCGGATTGGCTGGAACTGTTCCAAAATGCATGGCGCTGTAGCTCCTGGGACCAAGCAAATTCACCCCCAAACCCAAGAGGGAATCCAGGCTGACTCCCGTTTGTTTTTTTTTTGGTGTTTCCATGTTCTTCTCCCCAGTTCATCCTCTCTCCCTGAAGGAAGAAGACAAACCTGCCCTCCTGATCCGCAGCCACCCGGCCCCATCTGCAGGCAGGTCCCTGCTCATGGGCAGGGCAGGGGGCAGGTTGAGAGGCCCAGGTGAGGTGGGACCAGCCCTGCCGTGGAGCCTGGTGATATCTCCTCAGCTTCCTCCTCCTCCCGGCTGGGCCACCAACGTGTCTGGAGTGGGTGGGGGCTCCTGAGCCGATGCCCGGCGTGCGCTGCAGGGAGCAGCATCACCCTTCACAGTGGCAGTTACCCAGGGCACACCAGATCCAGGGTGAGGTGGCTCTGAAATGCTAGCTGGAGAAGGACCTGCTGCTGGAAGCACCTTCACGCCCAGCCTGGGAGAGCGAGGACCAGCGTGGATGCTGCTGGGGATGGTCCCCATCCAGCTCCCTTCCTGAAGAGAGGCAGCAGCAGAGCAGGGGTGTGGGATAAGCAAGCTCCAGCCTTGCACGGTGCCAGCAGGAGCTGCAGGCAGCCCGAGGAAGCGGAGGACTAAGCCCGGGCAGCCA